CTGCATGGGGCTGCCCCCCCTGGGCGCAGGGGGTGGGTGATGGGTGGGTGATAGGGGGTTTTTAGGGGGTGGGTGATGGGTTTGGTGGGCACAGGAGGTTGGAGATGGTTTGTCGGACCTCCTCCCGCAGTGCCTAACCCCAGCCCCCCGCACCACCCTTTGCCCCCCAGTGTTATTTACGCGGGCATCTGTTAGTCCCCTGGCCCGTGGTGATGTGCCCACGGGGTTCCTGATGTGTGGCTGGGGCTGGGGAGGCTCCACAGGTCCTGTGGCAGGCGGGGACGAGGGGACGGCCACCCTGCACCACGGGGACGCTCGCCCCCAGCCCTCCTTCCCGCGGAGGAAGCCAGGCAGGCTGCTGGCTGCCCGGAATAATGGGATTCGGGAGGAGTCTGGGGGGGGGGAGAGTTTGCATTTTTTCCCTTCAAATTTCCATACCTTGGATTTGATCGGGCCCTCTGGGGACCGCAGTGCCGTTTGATCTCATTTTGTGTTCCATTTCTGATGTTACACCTTGTCATGGTGTATTAAGTGCCATCAAGCTCCGTAATGCAGTGACACGAGAACCTGATGCTACATGATCGACAAAAATATGCTTGTCCCCCGAGAGATGCTGACAGTGTCACATCCACCACCTCCTCCCACCATGTGCAGGAGGCACAGACCCTCTTTCATGGCAGCTCCTGTGCTTCTGCCGGTGCGTTTGAGTGGGGAAGCTGAACTTCGTTAAATCTGATGTCCTGGAGCCTGACACCTGCATAAAATGAGGCCCCCAATTAAAAGCAGGATCTGAGCTCAAAGGTGGCCTAACCAATGTGGGTGGTGGAGGAGCAGAGCTGCTGGTCACCATGCCCAGGCTCCTGATGGGCTCGCAGGGCTGCAGACACCCGGTCGGGGCCCCCTCCCTGCACAGCAAGCACGGGGAAAGCATCGCAGGGCTGCAAATTCTGGAAAAAAGGTGACAAATGCACGACACAGAAAGCAGCAATGATAGCCCACGGCTGCTTCGAAAGTCCTTCCAGGACGTTCCAAGGCAGCCTCTGGAAAGCCAAGAGGAGAGAAGCCACGGCCAGGGGGTCGGTGCCACGGTGGCGCGCGGCTGGGTTGCTCCACGAGGAGCAGGCGTCCGGCCCCGCCCGGCTTGGATCCACAGTTATTGCCCTTATTTCACTTGCTGGGATTTCTTGACAATCGCTAATGTGCAAGTTGACTGATTTTCATGGTAATATGCTAAACAAGTGCCTCTTTCTCTCCGCAGCGATTCCCTGGCTCAGCCAGAGCCCCGTGATAGGCTCGGTGTACAATACCCTGATGTAGTGAATGTGGCGTGCCAAAGTAATTCTGAGTGAAATCCCAAGGGATTTATGTCAAGGACAAAATAGTGTATCCCATGGGTAAATATAGTTAGCACAGCTGCAAAACAGAATTTATTTCTTGTTTGCGATATCATTTTTAAAGTATGGCATAGGGAAAGCTTTAAAAATGAAATTATAGCATGCAATAAAAAAAGCTCATAGGCACTGTATTCAAATTATGCAACAGTAATATGCCGAGTTCATAAATAAACATCTCTTATTAACCCTTCTCATAGCAAAATGGTATTTTTCCCTTGAAATAAACAGTCGGAATGATTTGCCAGGGAAAACAGCAGCAACCAGCAGCAAGCTGGAGCTGCGAGGGGCTCCGCTGGGGCAGCAGCGCCGTGAGCTGGGCACCGCGGCTGGGCCCAGGACCGGGGCATCCCCAGAGCCCGGCAGAACCCCGGCCCTGGAGAGGGGCTCAGGGGGCTGCAGCAGGGTCCCCCCACGGCTGCTCACACCGCTCCCTCCCGCAGCCCCCCCGGTGCCCCGGCCGCTCGCGGAGGCAGCAGGCGCGGTGCACAGCAGCTAATCAATTTTGTTTGCATATGCAAGCGGAGACGCTGTCGTTTCATTAGCTCAAGTAAGGACTCGGCACACTTTGTGCGGCTTCAATAATTCTCTTTAAAGTTATTGAGAAATGTATGCTTAATTATATTTGCATATGAAAAATAGGGTCTAATTAGTTTGATTGATTATTATTTTAACCTTAATGACATTTTGAGTATCTGTCCCAACTAATAGCAAATGTATCTCTAATAAATCACAAATTTTTATAGCATGGTCTATCGAGCTTCCTTTTGAAATATATTTTATTAATACACCAGAATGTATTGAAACTGAAACAAGTCAAACAACTGCTCATTTATTAAACCGTTTAAATGTCAGTTTTATACAAGAGTAATATTACAGGAAATACGTTCCTATGAAAGACATCTGTAGGCCAGGGATACTCAAAATATTAGTTATTTCGGTGAAATATATTAAGGAAATAAAAATTCAATTATGTCATTTATTGCACTAAATAAATTTATATCGACTAGCTTAAATGTTTTGAATTAGCAGATGTGCCGTCCTGCAAACTCGCTGATTTTCCGAGGTGGGGGCTGGCAGAGCGGGAGCGAGCAGGATGGGGCACCGGGGCGAGGAGCTGCCCTGCGGCAGGGGCTGGGGCTGGGGCTGGGTGGCAGCCAAGCCCCCCAGGATGGGTGGGCTCTGTTCCCTGCTCCCCATGGCTCCAGCACCAGTCCATACCCTGCATGCCGGGGCAGCGAGCCGTGGCCAGCTGCGCCCTGTGCGCACAATGCGTGGATTTGCAGAGCTCTGCTGAGGGGCCTGAGATCAGCGGAGGTTTGGGGTCTGTTAGGACAACTCCTAGATTTTTTGGGATGGTGTGCCCAGCACGGAGATTCCCTGAGCTCTACGAATGGGCTCACACTTCTGCCATGCCCTGGAGAAGGGTGAATTCAGTGCGGGGCCGTGGCTCCTGGAGGATGCTCCGGCCGCTGGGAGCTGGAGGTGCAGAGCTGGGGTGTGGGGCAGGCAGGGGCCTCACAGCCCTCGTCCACCAAGGAATGGGATGTGGGGACTGCTTTTGTGCTATCCTCGGCTGAAATTCGTATGCTATGGTGGTGTCCCTGCCATCAATGCCTTAATTAGAAATTAGGATAGTCACATTGGCATAAATTAAATCAGACTAAAGATGATTAACAAAGTAATGCAAGAAATCATTAAATTAAACCACTGTGCCAAGTCCACTGCTGATCTATCACAAATTTGGGCTGCTAATGAGGTCTTAATTAGTAAGTTAGGTCGAAATAATTCATGTCATTCAATTCAGAGAAGACACTTTTTTTTCCAAGACTTGATGCAAATGCATCAACTAATGGGTCCATAAATAAATAAATAAACAAATTGCATCCCCGTGTTATCAAAACTCAGTTACGTTGAAATGGCAAATGTTAATTTGAAAAAGAGTCATTTAGCACTGTCGGTGCCCAAGGCAGGGAAACGAGCAAATCCTGAGCACGGCAGCAATGGAGCTGTGCAGCCGCTTAACACGGGCACCCCTCGCTCCGGGCTCTGGTGTTTTTTGGGGTGCTTGTGGGGACTGCAGCCGTGAGACATCACAGCCCTTCAGAGAGGATGGGAGCAGAAGGGCTCTCTCCACCAGGAAGAGCAAATTTCTTTGTCCCCACTTTGCTCTTCTTTTTGTCAGGTGTTCTGTAGTTGGAGACATCACACGGTAACATTTCCGAGACCTGCTCCTATTTTGGGCAGTGGCACCGCATTTGTGCTTGCACTGGCACAGAAGGTCACTCCTGTAGGCACAAAAAGATTATTTAAAAAGTGGACTGAAATGTCCCCTTTGAACTTTTGTTCTGTGCTTCTCCCAGCGCCTCTTCCCCTGGTGTGCAGAGCAGGACAAAACTCCTTTTTCATCATCTCCTGATTCCCTGCTGACTCGCAGTGCGCTACAAAACCAGGAGACTTGTGCGAACTGGGCAAAATCCAGCCCTGCTCTCTGCTAATCCCCAAGCCAAGGAGAAGGAGGCACCCCTGCAGGGTCTGGAAAGGGGTTGTAACTGCAAAACTTGGAGCCAGCGTGGGAACAAGCGCCAAACACAGGCTCTGCTGGGGAGCCCCCCCGGCACAGCTCGGGATGCTGCCCGGTGCCCTGCAGCTGCCACCAAGGCCCCAGTGGCACACCCTGAGCACGGCTGGAGGAGCACAGGGTGGGCGCAGGGTGGGCGTCCCCAGCCTCGGGGACGGTGAGGCATGGGGACATCAGTGGACCCTGCCGTCCTAACGCGAGAGGCACCCCGCAATACGGGAGCAGTGGTAACAAGGGATGATCAGACAGAGCCGAGGAGGGTGACCTGAAAACCTTGTCTGCATGCATCCAGTTCTGCTGTCTTGACTACGGCGCGGAGATGTGTTTGGGGAATTAAGCAAAGCACATCACTTTTTTTGCATAATTGAATTCTCTGCATATTTTTTTCTTTCTGTGCATAATCTTCCTTTCATGTTGTTCATGTACTTCCTAGATAATTCAGAGGTTACTTTCCTTGAAAAGAAAATACTGAGAGAACCTATGGCACTATATCCTTAAGTATTCCACTTGTTGTAAACTCCCCGAGGAATCTTACCGACACTAAACATCAGGGAAAAAATATTCAATACGTTTTCAGAACAGCTCTTTGTACTCGAAATACTCTGGTTTATATTAAAATATTCTCATCTCCCGATAACTTATAAGGGTTCAGAGCAGTAAGAGCCCTCTCCTCCCAACCCCTACCCAGGGGTACGGGCAGCACCAAGGATGCTGCCGGGGGGCGCGGGGGCGGCCGGGGGGGGGCGCGTTCAGACGCCTCAAATCCGCCTTTAGCGGGGCCTCGGAGGCCGGCACCGGGCGGCTGGGGGGGGCTCGGGGGGGCCGGGAGGCTCCCCAGGGGTGTCCCCGGCCCCGCGCCCCGCGCCCCTGCCGCCGGCCGCCCGCTGCTGCCCGGGGCCGGACGGGGCGGGTGGGGACGGGCGGTGCCGGGGGGGTCCGGGCCGTACCGGGGGGCTCCGGGCGGTACCGGGGGGGTCCGGGGGCGGCGCGGGGCCGAGCAGGGCTCGGAGCGGGGCTGAGGAGGGGAAAGGCGAGCCGAGCCCGAGCCGTTTTGCGTGTTAAAAGGGAATTTTCCACTCCTTTTATGGGCTGAGCAGGGAGCGCGGGGCCGGGATGTGCGATCTCCCCGTCCTGCCCGGCGGGGGCCGGTTCCCCACACCCAGCGCAGACCCCCCAAAAACGGGGCTGTGGGGCCCCCACCCGCCCTGCGCTCCCTGCCCCAGCCCGCGCTGAAGGGCACCGAGGAGGCGCTCCCCAAATTCCTAGCACCTCAGTGGTTAAAATGTTATCACTTTTATTCGTGTAATAGAGATGAAGTTCCTGGGCCTTCCAGGAGCATCAATCTAGAGATTTATTAACCAATTTAAAATACTATTGTCTTTCACTTCAATGTGAGATTGAGGTGTGTTGTCGGAGGAATATAAAGCTACAATCAGTGAGCCGCAGTGCTGGGAGACGCCAGTACCTGGAACTCAATAGATATTCATGAACATTCTCGTATTTAGTGAAGGAAATAACTTAATACCGACAGTGTCGATGGAATAATAGCCATTTCCTGGCTGACTTGCAGCCCTCAGAAAATGAGATTGCGCCTGCCTTCATTTTTCTTGTCTTTCCTGGGTTTCTTGCAGGGGAATGCACCGCGCAGGGATGCTGTGCGCATTCCAAATCAGCCGCAGGGCGAGCCCCGCCAGCACCGGGCGGCCCACCCCGGCCACCACCAGCTCGGCCGCGCCGGCAGCGTCCCCTCCCGCAGCCATCTCAGCCATGCGGAGATTATAAATATCCCAATTATTATTCCAGCCAAAAGGAGGGCAGGCGGCTGCTCCGGCATCCCACGCCGAGCCCCACATTTCCCCCTTTAGCACACGCACAGCCTCGCGTGCTGCATAAATATTCATAGCAAAATCAATTTGCACCTAAAGATCTCTTCTGAAATTGCATCCCCGACGCGGGGACTTGGCCCAGGAGCACAGATGGGACAGCATTGGAACGCCACGCTCAGCCTAAATACATAGACTGGGGTAAATCTCCTGTAAGTAATTGTTACATGATTTCTCTTATTCGTCCATCATAAATGGCACTAAATTGGTTTTTATCATTTTAAAGGCTGCTGGCAGACGCTGCTATGCAGGCTCCAGAAAAAAAGAGGATCCCACTTCTCTTCTGGGTGCCAGCTGCAGTGGGATGGTGCTGCCATGCCAAGCCTGCCGAGGCTGTAATCCTGCACCTCGGGACGGGGCAGACACTGGCACACGGCTGGGCAGCACAGAGCAGGAGCAGTGTCACCCCGGGTGCCACAGGACTCGGGCATTCCAGACAGGTGGCCTCAAGGGATGTGGCAGAAGCTGAAGATACTGTCAGAAATACATTAAAAAATAACAATTTAAATGACCTAATGCATTTCCTTAATTCCAGTAAAACCACAGCTTGCAAAAAGCAAGGAAAAGGATTTCATATTTCACTGCTCTCATTTATTTTACTCGCCTTGCACCAGCTGGACGCAGGGCACTGTACGCGTGTCCGTGGTGTCCAGGTATTTCTCCTGCTGCCTCCAGCCAGAGCACAGCCAGAACTGCTCCATTTGCTCAAGATCTTGTGAAAGCCGTGAGTTATTTTTGTTCCCCAGAGCCGAAGCCCAGACCCAGGTGGGTCAGTACGGGCAGCCCTCTGCAGACTTTGTGCCCAGGGCTGCTGCTCCCGGCATCGTGTGAGCGCGCTGCTGTCCCCGGGCTTCAGGAGCATCCAGCCCATCCCGTGGGCTGCCCCTCACGCATCGTTAGGCTCTTGGCCTCCCTTGTGGTGCCTGATTCCCAGTGTTTGGACACAATGTTTGTGAGCCTGTGGTTTTCCATGACATTTAGCAGGGAGCATGGAAAAGGAGAAGCAGCAAGGGATCATCCAGCTGGCCCCGCGCACGGCTGGCCGGGCTGAGCAGCGGTTGTGAATAATTAAATTATGCTGGGGAAAAAAACCTGGGCTCATGTCCCTTTACCCAGGGGTGCTGTGCCCGGCCCTGTGCATTAAGCATCGTGCTGTGTTCCCGGCCGGGTCCCCACCGGGCTGTGGGCACGCTGGGCAGCCCCGCAGAGCCGCCGCGGGATGTGCCGGGCTCGCGGGAGGTCTCTGCCTCTCCCTCGCTGAGGACAAAGCTGTGCAGCGAAAACACTGATCTTCCATTCTCGGGAAAAAGCTACAGCACCTACCAATCATTTTTATACCCGCTAAACAAAACCTGACAATGAGGATTTATTGCTTATAATATTAAGTGAAGTTTAATTTAGACCATCTATAAAAGTCCCATTCCAGAGTGTTTCCCAAAGATCCTCGACGCTTTAAAATAAAGAGGACAAATACTGAAGTGCTCTCTGAATGTTATGGGACAATTTCCTTTTATGTTGCCATTCAGCGATGTTTTCTCTCTGGCTGGAACCCAACATTTCAATGAATTTTTCAGACTGTATCATGCTCTTTCCCTCCCAAGCTGCCAGATGATGCTCATATGAACAAGCTCACACTGGCAGAACAATAACCAACGCTCAGCTTCCCCTGGAAGCCCTGTGTTAATTTTAATCTTATACAGCTGGGCACTTGTTCCAGGCAATGAATGCAGCAACATGTGCGAGGAGCCATGCCTGGCTTTCTGAGCCTCCCTCCCCACCCTGTGGGACGGGACAGGGGGATGTCCCCAGGACAGCTGCAGGCGAGACCCTGGCAGCGTCGCCCCCTTTGGCCTCCCCTGCTGAGCACGTGGGGTTTGGGATGGGGGGACGCAGCCCAGCACTGCAAGCTGCTGCGGGTCCTTACCCCATGCCCAGCTGAGCTGGGCTGCAGCGCCCCGCTCCCTGCCCCAGCCCCATGTGGCACCAGTCACACCAGTGCCATGGCCCCCTCAGGCACTGGGAGCTGTTTTTCCTGCATTCCTCTGCGACCTCTTCCTGGGGGAAGATGCAGGGAGGGCAGAGCAGTGCAGATCCCGTCTAGATCTTAATTAATTTAGGGCTGTCATTGCCTGGTGGCAGACACTGAGCAGCATCCGTCGCTGTTCCTTTGTTCCGGATCTGGCTCTCCCTTGCAGGGTTTACGAGGCGCTGCACCTGCCCTTCCCGAGCCCCCCGGGTGCTGGGGACGCACGGTGCCGTGCGGTCGGTGGCGCTGAGGCTGCTCGCAGTCAGGTCCTGGGTAAACAGAGAGCAGAATGGGATCCGTACACGGAGCTGGAAGTGGCAAAGCGTGATGAATAGCATTGCTATGGTAACTTAATCGGTTAAAGTCCTCTTGCTCAATCCACTCTTGTTACCAGCAAGGTTGGGAGGAGAGTTAGGAAAAAAACAGAGACCGGGAGAGTGAGAGATGAACTCACCTGAACGCTGCCAGCGCAACGGGCTGATTGGATTAATAGCTGCAGATGACTGCAGCTCTATTTAGAAAGCACTGTCTTAAAAATATGCATAATTTTAATTATGCATTGACACACGCTTTATTCCTAATGAAGAAGAACTTGACAGCAAGGGCAGGTGCTGTTAATTACAGCTTCTCCTGGAGCTGGAGCTCACCGCCCCAGCCAGCAGCGCCGGCACCGTCCCTGCCACCGGTCCCCGTGCGCCCTGCTGGCAGGCGGCCCCGAGCCCCTGCACAGGGCACGAAGCAGATCCCCTCTGGGGGGGCACAGGGTGGGTGAAGGTGTCCGTGGTGTGTCCGTGTCCGTGGTGTGTCCGTGTCCATGCTGTGTTTGTGTCCCTGAGGGCCAGCGGCTCTTGAGGGTGCGCCCACAGCTCTGCCGTCCTCAGGACACGGCCTCAGGGACAGGGTCTCTGCTCCTGTGGGACCAGGGGGAGCCTCCCTGTGCCCCTGCCTTCTTGGCCAACCTCAGAATTTTCCTGAAGGCAGCAGCAGCCCTTCCCCTGTGAGGTGGAGCCCAGAGCTGCCGCTGTGCAGCTGGGCCGGGTGCCCTCAGGTGGTTTGCGTGCTCATCTCGCAGTGTAGTGAACTGGTGCTTCCACACCACGCCAGAAATGACGGTAAATGTGTTTTAAAATTTTGTGACAGTGCATGCACAAATCACCAATTAAAGACTCCCTAAGTGCCCATTAACATGATAAGTCGTAACAGCTCCAAAAGAGACATTATTGTTTATCACGTCAGCGACCCGTGGATTAAGGACTCCCCAAGTACACATTGACAGGGTAGAGCGCAGCCTCTGCGGAGCTGTTCCGCGTGCCGTGGCGATGAGCTGGGGAGGAGGGGAGCCCAGTGAGCACCCCGACCACCCCAGCCCACCCCGAGCCAGGCGGGCTCGGCATCGGTCAGTCCGTCCCCACTTCCCACCGCTTTACAGCAGGTTAGGAAATAAAGTCTCGTGACTTTCCTCTTCCTACCTGTGCCCATCCCAGCTCCTGAATCTGCAACAGTTTGAGCAGATTCGTTTGCTCAAATTTGATTTATTTCAGAGCCACTTAAAAGCGTAACAGCAGTAGGTTTCTAACAGAGGTTTTCCACTCGTTCATTTGCAAATAATATCAATTTTCTCTTAAAATTCCTCACTTTTAATTAAAAAGCCCGGTTCTCCTGAGCTAAAATATTATAGCCAAAAATGGAAGCATTCTGAAGGCATTTGCTGCCACGGTGCCTTGTGGGAGCTGTAGTTCCTGCAGCGCAGCTCCACTCTCCGCAGACCCAGCTCCAAGCATCCCCTCACTGCACCGGGATCGGCCGGCACAGGGGAGGTGGCCGGGGAGGCTGCTCCAAGGAGGATCCCTGCTCCTGCCCGGGGACACGCTGCCAGGGCAGCGCAGAGCCCACCCTTCGGTGAGGTGTCCCAGCCCGAGCGCCCCAGCCCGAGTGCCCGCTGCAGGTGCCAGCCCAGGCGGTGCCTGTTCCCGAGCAGGGAGCCCCGCAATTTGCTGCTCAAAGTGTAACGATGTCTCTTAATTTCCGGCCACGCTCATTACAAGTCAGGCCAGCTTATTATACACAATAGACAATTTGTGCAGGGAGCGCGAATTCCCAAGCCTATAAACATCCCATTTCCAATTCCAGCTGCACTGACAGAGTTGTACAGTTCAATTTCTACTTAAAACCTCATATGCTGTCTGGTCCCATGAAGGGCTCTCAGCTTTATTCTGCTCATCCCAATTATTGTCTCAGAACCTTAACTCAGGCAGGATTCAGCCTGAATTCCCCAAATCTCTCCATTAAACAGATCTGTTCTTGTTAGAGCCTATTTATTCAAGATGCAAATGACAGGCTCACTACCCAATTGAAATCATTTTCATCCAGAGCCAAATAACACACTTTAGTCTTCTTGGCATGAAGCAGCGAGCTATTAAAAATGGGAAGGAAATACAGCCAGCCCACTTCATTCCTAGCTTCGGGCCTTCATCAATATTTTACTTATGGAGGCGCAGCTCCATGGTAATGTGCCGGCTGCAGGCAGCCAGGCGGACGCGTTGCCCGCGTGGTGCTGTGCCAGCCGGGAGCCCAGCGGCACCTGCTGGGGTCGGGGCAGGCTGCAGGAGGTGCAGGGCACGGTCCCAGCTGGCTCCAGCACTGGGCAGGCAAAGTGGGGCCCCTCTGCCCCTGTGGCCCCAGGATCTGCAGTAACGGCAGCCCCAGGCTCTGCAGCCTGCTCTCACCTGCTGCCTGATGGCATTTCCCAGGGCAGGGCCACCAGGAAATGGGACGGTGCTCATGGGATGACACTCGTGGGATGGTTCTTGTGGGATGATGCTTGTGGGATGACCCTCATGGGATGATGTTTGCAAGACAATGCTTGCAGGACAATGCTCATGGGCAGGACAGGGCTTTGCTGCATGAGGAGCCCAGCAGTCAGTGATGCCACGTGGAGCCTGACCCCAAGTGCTGCCAGCAGGAGACAGCCCTGGGGCACCCCAGCATCCCTGCACAGCCCGCGCCACCCTGTGCCCACGCGCTCCTTGATGAGGCACCAGGGAATGGGAGAGGGAAGAGCAGCCGGTGAGATAGCAGGCTCCATTACAATGGAAGGGGAGCGTGTTATTTGATCCAAGAGCTACAGGAGCAGAGATGAATAATGAGTCTACAGCACTTCCACTTGTTTTCCTCAATAGTCAGACTTGGCTTCTTTCCCTTAGATCCAATACTAACAAAACTGTATTTGAAATTCACCCAAGTGTACAGTAACCATGCCAATGTGTTAGCAACTTACTTCTGGCACACTGCTGGTAACATATAATTACACCTGACACCATGCTATTTAGTGTATTTCATTCAAATTAAACAGTGTGCTTAAGAGTATTTAAAGGCGATGCCTACGTTGTGCCGCGCAGAGGTGCACGGCGGGGACTCGGTGCCAGGCGCGCAGCGTCCAGGCAAGGTCTGCTGCCCCAGCACCCTGGCACCGGGACCCCCATGTG